GGCCATGATAAAATGACAAAATGTTAAACATGTTTTAAACCAAAGTTTTTTTTATCTGATGAACATTAAAAAGTATTGAATTAAAAATAGATTTACATTGTTTTATTAAAAACCTTAAACACATTGTTGTGAACTAACAGTCATAATAAATTTAAAGTGAGATGTATAATAAAACAAAAGTTATGACATCACATTGTCCCTCAGAAACATGGTTTTGTTCCACACTGATCTGCTCCCCCTGGTTCAGTTCAAATCAAGTTTGGTTGTAGTTTAACTTGTGCTTGGTAATTCTTAACACAATTAGTAGTTAGGCTGTTTAACAATTAGTTTAATGATCGTAATGCTTCAGTAACTATATTTGTTAGTCAAACTAGGTTGTTAAATAATTAGATAAATAAGTGAACTATGATAAAGACTAAAGCTGAAGCAGTCCTGTCCTGTTAGAGCCACATATCCAGTAATAATCCTGTTAATCTGTCACATCCAACACAGACATGTGCTGCTGTCAATCACCAGGGGTGCAACAAGTCAGGGTGGCTGGGAGGGGCTATGCCCACCCCCTGAATGTTGTGGCCTCACCAGTTTTATCTTTGTGTTGTGCTCATTTTAATTACCCCTACCCATTTAGGATTAGTAAAACATTTAAATATGAAAAACGTTTTTACAAAACTAATAGTTAATAAAAATAAACTTAAATAACACAAACTTAAAACAGTCCCTGTGAATGAAGACAAGCAGAGAAAATCAAATGTCTACAGGTCTTATCWTATTGTTTTCTAACTGTTTATTTGTTTATAAATAAACAAGCAGAGGATGGTTGATGTTTGGTGGTGGTCTGTGATGAAACTGCTGACCTTGTATTTGCCTTTGCAGATGGCTTCAAACAGTCGCTCCTTGGTGCCGTAAAATGGGAGGCCCCCCGACAGGAGGATGAAGAGGATGACTCCACAGCCCCACACGTCCACCGGTTTCCCATATGGTTCCCTCTTCACCACTTCTGGGGCCATGAAGTGAGGAGTTCCTACCCGACCTGATGAACAGGTGAGCAGGTAACAGTCAGTGCAAATACAATGAAAACCATCAAATCATGGACATACTGTATTTGCCCCTTAAATTGCAAAATGGTACAAATGATTCTCTTCAGCTGTTGCTAAACTGTTTAGCTGAAGTTAAATTATGGATGGAAAAAAACTTTCTTCACCTTAATGAAAGCAAAACTCATGTTCTACTATTTGGTCAAAAACTTCAGACTACAAATCCAGATCAGGTTCTTGGTTTCTTGGCTCGGTCTTATCAGACCTCTGCTAGGAATCTAGGTTTTACTTTTGACAGCTCTTTAAAGCTAGATAAACAAGTTAGTTCTGTCGTCAAATCCAGTTTTTACCACCTTCRGCTTTTAGCAAAAGTTAAATCTTACTTCTGTTTTAAGGACTTTGAAGGACTCATCCATGCCTTCATAACAACWCGTCTGGATTACTGCAACTCTTTATATAGAGGGATGGATAAATCACAGATTCAGCGACTTCAGATGATCCAGAATGCAGCAGCACGGCTTCTCACAGGAACCAGGAAGCATGACCATATAAGGCCAATTCTGGCATCTTTACAYTGGCTACCCGTCTTTTATCGAATAGATTTTAAGATCCTTTTGTTAACTTTTAAAGTTTTAAATGGGCTAGCCCCCCCTTATCTTCGGGTCCAGTCTGTGTCCAGAACCCTACGATCAAATAATCAGTTATTACTGACAGTTCCTCGAACTCAACTTAAGAGGAAAGGAGATCGAGCTTTTTCTGTTGCTGCTCCTGTTTTATGGAATAATTTACCTTTCCAGATTAGATCTGCCCACAGCCTGGATCATTTTAAATCGCTTCTTAAAACTCATTTTTATTCTTTGGCTTTTAATTGATGTGTTGTTTTTGCTCTGTTTTGTCATTTGTGTTGTTCTTGTACAGCACTTTGGTACAGCTTTATGCATGTTGTAAAGTGCTATATAAATAAATTTGACATTGACATTTCATGAATCTTACCAAGTAAAATGTTCTTACTCCACTGGCAGAAATGTTTGACTTAATTAGAGTCAAATTTTCAGACTAACAAGACAAATAATCTTACACATTCTGAAAACAAGATGATTATTCTTACACAATCAGTTCTTGTTTAGTAAATCAGTCTGAAAACAAGATCAAAAAGACTTTTTAGCTGATATAAGGTTTAAAACTTGGTAAGATGGACAGTTTTTACAGTGTGTGAAAGGGTGATGAAGTGGTTCTTTGTGGTCTGAAAGCACCTGCAGCTCATCAGGTGTGTAGTCTCAGGTGTGTAGTCTCAGGTGTGTAGTCTCAGGTGTGTAGTCTCAGGTGTGTAGTCTCAGGTGTGTAGTCTCAGGTGTGCAGTCTCAGGTGTGTAGTCTCAGGTGTGGAGTCTTCCCAAAAAAAGAAAAAAAAGCCCAGTGTTTCCCTTCTTTGGTTCCTCCTACGTCCTGCACCCACAGCAGCTTGTGTTGCTTCTCCTCACAGTTTGAGGAGCTCCTCAGGCCACATGAGGTGTTTCTGAGGATGAAGGTGCTGCTCTGACCACTCCTCACTCATAAAAACTCATATTAATGTCTTGTAATATGAATTAATTTTGTTGTAGCATTWACAGATTAAAATGTTTATTTTATTGAATAATTACATTAAATTCAGACATTTATTTGTTGTGATGGTTGTATAAAAGGTTTCTGTGTCTGATCTGATCTGGACTGTTGGAACGTTTACACGTTTACACACATTTCACAGGTAGTTTACAGTATATCTGCTTGTTTCTGTGCTCTGCTGTGAATAAAAACATCAGTTAAGGATGATATAATTTCATGTCTGTAGTTTAAGCTGTGTTACAGACAGAGTGAACGCATCATGTAAAACTGGAGTTTCTGCACAAACAGACTCTTATAGAAACATATAAAGCAGCTTCAGAATCATTTTTCATCTCAAACATGTTTAAATCTTTATGTGCAGTGGAATAAGTTGTGTTGTTGCACTGGTTACCTCCTGACACCAGTCCAGACTCTCCCAGTTGAATGGCCACTCCGAAGCCGCCCAGTTTGACGGGTGCAGAGTTCTCTTTGGAGGCCAGCAGCACACAGTGAGGCTGAGAACGACATGTTTGTGACGTCACACTCRTCTGTTGCTAATTACAGAATGACACACCTGTTTAAGCCACACCCACATAAAGAATGACATGTGAGAGCCCCGCCCACCAGCCATCAGATGATTACAGAGAGGATACTGACTCTTCAGTATTCATGTTCTGGACTTCCTGAAGTCATTTCTCACAGTTTAACTCTCTAAACTCACAGAAAAATAAAATGTTTGAGGAAATAAAATCAATATTTGTTATTGTATGAAGCAGCTGAGTGGTYCTATAGTGGTCCTCATATCATATCTGTGAAACATTTAGTTATTAAATTATATAAACCACAGGGATTATGTGATGCTCAGCTCAGAGATGGTTAAAGACAGCAGAGACTTTCTCCCAGTATATCCCAGTATGGAAACAGTCCTGCTGTGGAGCTCTGCCATGATGTCAACATGGTTGGTCAAAAGTACCAGTTCAAATGTCTGAAGGCACACTGTCTCATGCTTTTTGGTCTTGTCCTTCACTAACTGGTCTTTGGTCAAAAATATTTGACTGGTACTCCAAGGTATAAGACCCTCTTACAAGCTGAACCAGGACTTATAATCTTTGGATGCCGTCAGGTGCCAGGGACTGTACCTGCTGTGATGCAGCAGCCACTWGAACTGGGACTGATTGTTGCCAAGAGACTAATCCTTAGAAACTGGAGGTCCTCTCTGAAGTCTCTCCATCTGGATCATGGGCATCATGTCCGTCACCTACAGGTGGAAGGAAGGAGGAACAGAGGACCTCCAGTTTCTGGACGGACATGATGCCCATGATCCAGATGGAGAGACTTCAGGGAGACTCTAAAGACACCTTCTCATGTTACTGGTCTCCCTTCTTGGAACACTTTTCAAAGACCAGACTGAGCTGATCAACCCATCTATGGTCTCTCCCCTCTGTCGCCCTCCTGTGTATGTGTACCCTCGTATGTCACTATGTGTATGTGCTGTGTGGGTATACTGTATATGTCAATCTTAATGTTTTATGCTTTGTCCTGTGCATCTGGGCTTTGTTTGTCTGTTTAATGGTATGTTCTAAACTTTGAAAACTTAAAATAAAAATAATAAAAAATACCAGTTCAAGGTCCTGGTAGAATATACAGTATTTTGCTTCTTAAGTTTTAACTAAATACAAATATCTATGTATCTACCACAATATGTTCACCTCTGGATAACTTTTAACATAAACMCTGTGGATACTTCAGATGTTTTTAAACTCCAGAACACACTAACTCAGTGTTTTCACCTCCTTTCTTACTTTAATCAAAAAGCAACATCCTTCCAGAACTGAGTCATCTTGGTCTTATTTTATTTGTCCAGACATGGTAAGTCAGCTGTTTGTAGCAGCTTCAGGCTTGTATTAAGCTAACCTCCTTCCAAAGCATGAATGTGTAAATGAGACACACACATGAAGACATGAAGATGTCTTATTTATCAGTTTCTAACAGCACTTTGAAACAGTTTGATTCAAGAAGCTTTGACTGATTGTTGGTCTCAGACTCAAGAGTAGTTATTTCCACAAAAAAATGTTACTTTAGTCAAATCAGCATCCATGCTTCAAAACTGTTTTAAATAAAAGAAAAGAAACAAAGACTCAGTTTAAAAAGTAGTTCTGTGTAACAGCAAATCACTGTGCATTAAAGCTTTGTTACATGATGCTGCAACATTAAATAAAACTAATGTTTCGAGGGATCGTTGTCCTGTTAACAGGACCTGAAGCCTCCCAGCAGKGCTGAGCTCTTTAATACCAGGAGGTCCAGTTCAGATTCTTCTGTCTACTGCCTGAAAAAAGACTTTCATGATGAGTCTTCAGACTGCTTTGTGATGTKTGCACTGATCAGATACTCCTGTGAGTAAATAAATTAATGCAAAACATTAGTTTGACAGCTTTTCCTTAAACACTCACTCATTGTAAATGCTTCAAACCAGACTAACCAAGCTGCTGGTCACTTCCTTACAAACAATGGAAAAATACAAATGTGAGCCATCACATCAAAATGAGGATTAAATCAAATCTGGTCAAAATGACCTAATTACATTTTCAGATTCTTGTCTTTAAAAGCTACATTTTGATACCTGGATCAT